ATATATATATATATATATATATATATATATATATATATATATATATATATATATATATTGAAATGCAGTTGCCCATATAGATCTTTGAGAAGGAGATGTGAAGTGGTGGGGGGATAAAGTGAATTTGTGACGATGGACGTAGTACAGAGGAGGTGGGTCGAGGGACCAAATCTGTTTCCAATCAATAGCCTATCTATAAATAAACAAAACAAGAGGCTACGGTTGACGGAAGTGGATGGTACGAGCGTGCGCCGCGGAATTACAGAGTCGAGATTTTTGTGTTGTGAAGACAGGGTTATGTGCGGTGTGTGTGTGGGGGGGGGGGAGGGGGGGGGGGGGGGGGGGGGTGGGGGGCGGGGGGGGAGAGGGGGGGGGGAAATTGGGGTTATATAATTAATGAATAGTGGAAGAGGGCCTCCTGTGGATAGGCGGTGGACGGGGAGAGTGTGGTCAATGGAGAAGGAAAGGGATCACCGGAAAAAGAACAATTCATCAATGGAGATATATGGATGGAGAGAGTAGCTAGAGATGAAGAGAGCTGACAAGGACAGAGAGAGAGAGAAAACACACAAAGGCGGAGAACGTATCAGCGTTTGAAGGAGTTGGTCAAGGCGGGATGAGAGGAAGAGAAGAGGGTGGAAAGGAGGAAATTAGAAGAATTAACGCAAAGAAACACGGACGATGAAGGGGAATAGAAGAGAATTGGGAAATTTGGAAAGAGAAACCAATGGTAACACAAGTGGGGGGGGGGGAGGCAAAAGGCAGGAGAGAAATTGTAGGGGAAATAAATGAGGCAAGAAAAGAAGGGGGCTAACACGTTAGTTAAATAATTAAATAAAAATGTGCTCTTTCAAAAGTTTCACATAGAACAGGTGAACTGAAGTCAGACATGCTGGATAGACAGGCAGCATATAAAGGTAGGATAGACATGCAGTATAGACAGACAGGATAGACAGGTTGAGTGGACAGGTAGGATAGACAGGTTAAATAGACAGGCAGGATGGTCAGGTAGGTGGACGATTAGGTAGGTACGAAAGTTACTAGGTAAGTAGCTTGCTAAGAACTTAGATAAGTAGGAAGCCAAGTAGGAAGTTAGAGATGTAAGTAGGTAGCTAGGTATTTAGTTAAGTAAACATGTAGGTAGGTTGTTGGGTAGGAAAGTAGGTAGATATGTACGTTGATAGGTAGGTAGATGTATAGGTAGGAAAGTAGGAAGATAAAATGAAGTATTTATGCAGGTTGGTAGGTAGGTCTGCAGGTTGGTAGGTAGGTCTGCAGGTCGTTAGACTGATGGCCGGAAGAGAACAAAAAAAACCTCAGCCTTTTTAAAGTACACGTCCGTATTTATCACGTCTGGTCTATTTTAAGCCTGGCCTTGCTTTATACATGCTTAAATATTTATCGGCCAAGCGACGTCAAAATGTCACTAGCTAAACATGACTCCCAACGATGTCATCAACAATGGGTTTTCCCGATCTATTCTTAACCTGATCTTCTCACACACATTTCTTTTTATTGTTGGTATTAATTTGCTGCTTTCTCAGACTTTCATACTCAGAAGACAACCGGCAAAATGTATAGTTATTATATCTATGTAA